TTATAAACTAAAATATATGATCATAAATCTGTCAGTTTCCCTTTAATTAAGAGTAGATTTTATAAATCACAACCTTGGCGTGAAAAGTGGCGTGCACAAGTTTCTGGGCTCAACTTGTGCGTACGCCAGTTTTATAAATCCAACCCCTGTTCTGTTAATGTTACTGTGATGATCATGTTGGAAAACTGTATATAGTACATTTCACACATTTTGTGCCTTTTCAGGTAATAAAAATGAACAAAAGCTGCCGTTTTCTCCAGTTTTCGGTGAACAGCAATAAACTTTCACCTCCTTAGATGTAATTTTGGTCATCTGAGCTTCATATTAGACCAGTTCTATGTTGACTGAGGTCATTTGTGATAAAATAAAATGAATAGTAAAAAAAAAATAAACAGAGCGAGCTGTTATTTTTGTTAATAATCTGGTTTAGTGTCCCTTTATTGTCCACATTTAGAACCACAACAGACTCAACTGAGGCTGAAATCCTGGTTTTAGAAATCAGAYACGACCTTTGACCTTTGCTACAGCTCTGAAAAGTCCCTGATCCACCCGGAACTGATAAAACATTTAAACATCTGTAAACTCAGGTCCAAACCTGGACRGACTGATCCGTCCAACGTCCCATAAATAAATAAAAGCAGCGTTCCTTGAAGGGTTGCCCGTCATCCGGCACCTCGTTTGACCCGTCAGCTCTCAGGGTTACGATGTGACTCAACTACGACCACAACAAACTTCAGCTCCACGTCGAAAGAACCGACTGAGTTTCAGGTCGACCAGCTGTGGCGGCCATCTTGAAGTTGCAGATGTTCATCCAGTTAACTTCTGAGTTTTATTAAAAAAAAATCAGTCCAGTGGCTCGTGAGATATTTTGTTAACAGGCAGAAAAACTCTACAGTGGACTTCAAACCAGTTTGTACCAGTTTGAAGTGGGCTGTAAGAAAAAACAAAAAAACAGTAGTAAACTTAGATAAGCCCCTCCCCCTCCACACACCTGCCAGGTTAAAGTGCTTTATGTTATTACAAAAATAAAACAAATGTTTCTTTCCTTAATGTTCCGTYACAAAGAAAAGAAAAAAAAAATTGTCTTGTTTGGAGTTTTGTCCCGCCCTTATTTAAAGTGACATCACAGCGTCCTTCAGAGTGGACCCAGACCRGACGAACCGGGTCAGATGAGCTCCCACTCATCGTCAACGCTATCTCCTCCGAGGGCCGGGTCCAGGCGCGGCGGGCTGCTCGGCATCTGTGGGAGGAGCTTGGTCAGCCTGCGGCACAGTCCGCCGATGGGAGTCACCGCCCACAAGTCTTCATCTGCCGTAACTGTGGAGAGAGACGCACCTGACAGGTGACTGGACACACGGGTTCTTCTGATCTGAGAATAGTGGAACTAGCTTCTCATTTGGAGGATTAGCTTTTATGCTAACTTTGGAAACCGTTAGCGGACCATTAGCTTCCGCTAAATTATGTGCTAATTWTAAGTGCTAAAAACTCACAAGCGTAAAACTTCTATTTTTATAGTGTTTATTCTAAATTAAATAAAAACTATCCCCTCTTACAAGCAGTGCTGGACGTGTCGTGTGTTAGCATGTAGCATCTTTAGCAGCTAAACTTCAAACTAAGCATCAAAAAGAAATAAAATAACATTTAACAATATTTAAATAAACAACATTAAATATGGTAGATAAATTATTTGATATTCGTTGTCTGACTAACTTCAAATAATATTTATAAATACAAACTCACAGATATGCTTTTATTCTGAAAGTATCACAAATTAAACAGCTGTAACTGGTTTGGATTGGTTGATTTGCCAAAGATGACCCCGCCCACCTTCAAATTAAACCAATAGCAAACTAACAACAGGTTTTTTTGTCACTCCTAGTCATCTCAGCAGTTAGYGTTACTTCCACTAATTGTGTTACAGATTTAGAGGTTTAGCGTTAGCTGGGCCACAACTTTACCATTCTGAACAAAACCTTAAAGCTAAAATAGTAAATTAGCACCAAGAGAAAATATGAATTTAAAACATTTAGTCACTCAGGAGGAAACTAACACTAAAAGAGAAAATTACAGGCTTTTAGAGATTGTAGAGATAAATACATAAAAGTATTTAAAGTCCAGTTTTACCAGTGAAACAGTTGGCGTTTCCGGGGATTTTCTTCCAGTAATCTCCTGCGGGGTTTTTGTCAGAAATGCCGTAACGTCGGGCCAAGTCTCCGTTCACGCACCGGACCCAGGCGGTCCGACAGCTGAGGACCAGCTGACGGACCGCCAGCCCTGCAGACGCACACACAGACACACAGTTATACACACATTACACACACCAGACAGGCGTGGAGAGCAGGGCCAGTGCCTGGTACGAAGTCCCAGCCGGTCCCAACAGGCATTTCGTCGCTCAGTCCGGTCCGGACAAAAACACTTCCCTTGTTGTCCAGAACCCAGAGGAGTCGATCGTTGGGACTCGTGTGGATGCTGACCACCTGCACTCCGGTTGGCTGAAACACACAACACCGCAATGACATGTGGACACAATCCTGTTCAAGATGGCCGCCACGGCTAGGAATCGACCACAACACATACCACTGGTTACACAACATCTTTGTATAAAACTTAGSCTTTAACTGTCTGTTAGCAAAATATTAAATAAACCATTAGTAGGATTTTAAGGTGCCTGTCACAAACATGTCCTACAAACACAAAAAGTCAATAAAACATCTTTATATGTACAAAACCTGAAATTTTGTTACATAATGCAGATTTTCTTTTGGACTTGGCTCAACCAAGGTGAAACAGGAAGTGACATCAAAGAGAAACTCTTTAAGAAAGTGAACTTCCTGCTTCTTTTTTTTATTAAAACAATATTGAAACTGACTCTTCATCTCTGATAGATTCTTCTCTACAGTCTGTGTTGATAGTTATCATAGCAACGCTGTTTACATGCAGACATTCCCCTGTGACATCACTTCCTGTTAGTGAACATGTGAAWATCTCAACTGTTAGTCTCAGAGACGTGAAATGCTTTTTGCCATGTTTTTCAATGCCATTTTCCAAAAATGCATTAATATTTGTTGTAAAATTTTGATGTGACAGACACTTTAAAGAGATCATAACCATTTAATCCAGTTCAAGATGGTAACTGCAGGAAATGAACTATAGCTAACACAAAACTGCTTGTAACTCAATCAGTTTAATAGATATTGAGCTAAAACTTTGTGTGGTGGTAGCAGAGGTACAATGGTTAAAACTGTTCCTTTACAACAAAACAGATTTCTGTTCAACACTTGTATTTTTAACAGCAGAGCAAAACTAAAGAGGCCAAAAATGACCAAAAGCAGCAAACAATCAGCCTGTCCCACGGCCATTAATACGGTTGCAAAGCTAAACCACAGAGCAGACACCTGAGAACCAGCTGACTGACACACACACACACACACACACACACACTAACCTGCAGAGGCGGGTCGATGGGGATCCAGGCCGGCATCATCATGCTGGAATTGAGCGGCTGAGTTCCGACTCTGAAGTAGACGAGTCCTCGACTGTCCACGGCCCAAACGTTCTGACTGCCGCAGCTCACATTGACCAGACGCACACTTCCTGTAACACACAGGTGATCACTTTACCTGGTCAACCTAAATTCATTTAAAATTAATTCTGTTTAAAAAAATAATAGTGTTTTTTTTATTTTATTTTACATCTTTAAGGTGTTGCATAAATGAAATAATAAAACCAGAACATCCAACCCTACAACGTGATATGAGAGCCAAAACTATAAATATTGCTAAACCAGCAGTTGCTACATCCTTGTAGCAGGAAGCTATATCTAGTCCTAACGCAGCCAAGTCATTGATCTGATTAATGATAGGCCGGCACCTCTAACTGAGCAGCTGGCCCCGCTAACTGAGAGGCTAGCGCCGGCCAATGAGAAGGAGACTATTCCTTTGTGTTAGCATCGAAGGGGCTAACATCTGTCATGGATAAGCTCTCCTTTAGCTTTGGAAAGGCTAGCGACTAGCATGCACAAGTTGGTGTTAGCCTCAGAGAGGCTAGTGACTAGCATGGATAGGCTGGCATTAGCCTGCTTATGCCTAGTAATGCCAGTTTATCCATGCTAGTCGTTAACCTCTCTAATGCTAACACCAGGCTATCCATGCTAGTCACTAGCCTCTCCAATGCTAATGCCAGCTTATCCATGCTAGTCACTAGCCTCTCCAATGCTAATGCTAGCTTATCCATGCTAGTCACTAGCCTCTCCAATGCTAATGCCAGCTTATCCATGCTAGTCACTAGCCTCTCCAATGCTAATGCCAGCTTATCCATGCTAGTTGTTAGCCTCAACAATGCTAATGCCAGCTTATCCATGCTAGTTGCTAGCCTCTCCAATGCTAACGCCAGCTAATCCATGCTAGTCACTAGCCTCTCCAATGCTAAATGCCAGCTAATCCATGCTAGTCTCTAGCCTCTCCACTGCTAAATGGCAGCTTATCCAAGCTAGTCTCTAGCCTTTCCAATGCTAATGCCAGCTTATCCATGCTAGTTGTTAGCCTCAACAATGCTAATGCCAGCTTATCCATGCTAGTTGCTAGCCTCTCCAATGCTAACGCCAGCTTATCCATGCTAGTTGTTAGCCTCAACAATRCTAATGCCGGCTTATCCATGCTAGTCTCTAGCCTCTCCACTGCTAAATGGCAGCTTATCCAAGCTAGTCTCTAGCCTTTCCAATGCTAATGCCAGCTTATCCATGCTAGTTGCTAGCCTCTCCAATGCTAACACCAACTTATCCATGCTAGTTGCTAGCCTCTCCAATGCTAACGCCAGCTAATCCATGCTAGTCACTAGCCTCTCCAATGCTAAATGCCAGCTAATCCATGCTAGTCTCTAGCCTCTCCWCTGCTAAATGGCAGCTTATCCAAGCTAGTCTCTAGCCTCTCCACTGCTAATGCCAGCTTATCCATGCTAGTTGCTAGCCTCTCCGATGCCAACACAAATGAATAGTCTCCTCCTCATTTACCAGTGCCGGCCTGTCAGTTAGCGGGGCCGGCCTATCATTAATCAGATCAATAGCTGGTTTCAGAATAGATATAGCCTCCTGCTACAAYGATGTAAAAACCGCTGTTGTGCAATAGTCTGAACTACCATATATCATTGTCCTCTTACTTTGTGAGACAATAATATATAAGGTTTGTGTTTTTATTCCTGCTGAAGGTTGGCGCGCAGGCGTTTGATGTCAACACTGAGCTGCATCTGGTGTCGATTRTCTCCCGACACCTCGACTCTTCTCACCGTTTGCTGACGCTCCTGTTTCCTGTCAGATAAAGTCTTTCCTGTTTTATAGACCATCTTCAGGCAGTCATGTGGCTTCTGATAGTGAGAAGGGCAAAGGGACTAAAAACAGATCCGTCTGTCTCACACATGTTGACCTCTGAGTTACACAACCTCAGGCTGTCAGGCTGACGGAGAAACACAGCTGACTGAGTGTGTACGTCTGAATCACTCTGTGTGGAGGCTGACACCGTCAGACGGATGAGCGTGGCTCCATGCCCGACGTGTTGGGTTTCAAATCATATCCATGGTTCCTGTCCAACAACCCGACCTGCGTCACAGTCATTAAACACCACATTACACCCAACACGCTCAGCAGGATCTGCTCTGAACACTGATCCTGTTCCTGGAGGCTCTGTTGTCTGGGGTTTCAAACTCTGGAGTCTAGCATGGAAAAACTGGTTTCAGGGGGATAGTTTGAAAACTCAGAGGACATCACTGCCAGAACCAGAACAAAGTGCAGGTACCTCTGTTGACCCCTGAATGGTAGGAAGTGCTACGTGTCTCTGTGCAGCGAACACAGAATACAAATAACAGAACATTCAAAACCAATCTCAGAGTCTTGAAGAGTCCCTGTTGGGTTTTGAACCCTGAAACAGAACTTTGAGTTCTTATTGATCTTCTTGTCCCTGTTGACTCGGGTTTATCTGTTGTTTTGGATTTAACTGCTGACTTACAGTCGATCACAACATTCTTTGGTCGACTCAAACGTGTTGTTGGACTGAAAGAGACAGATCTGTTCTGAGGATGTCCTGTTTGTCTAATAAGTCCTTTTCTGTGTCCATGAAGAAATACCCTTCTTCCATTTAACTTACAGACCTGAAGAATCCTCAAGGATGGATGGATGGATGGATGAACAGGTGGATGGATGGATGGATGGATGGATGGATGGATGAACAGGTGGATGGATGGATGGATGGATGGATGGATGGATGAACAGGTGGATGGATGGATGGATGGATGAACAGGTGGATGGATGGATGGATGAACAG